TTGCTTTCATTCATTCATTTACCCATTGGCCAACCCGCCTCATTGAGTGCCTCCTGTGATCTTATGTGACATGGAGCTTTATCCCACATGGCAGGAGGTGGACTTGCTGGGTTGGGAACCCCGTGGGGCCAGACGGGGGGCCAGACGCCCAGCTCTGCCCCAGTGCTGAGCCATGTGCTAGTGCATCTCAACTATATAGAAGGACACATTACACTGAGAAATGAGGTTTATGTAACACTGCAGTGTGCTCAGCCTCATAATAGACACTGGGAAAAAGGAAAGAATCCCACATGTTCTGGAAGAGACAGGCAAGAAACCAGACAAATGTGTATATAAATCCATACAGCTGGGACAATGACAAGATGGCAGCAAGCCAGAAAATCAGTGATGATGGGATGACAGTGATTGGTAGAAGTGTCGTGAGGACAAAGTATGTCTGGGAGGCCAGGGCGACTACATCAGTATCAATACTAGGCATGGCTCCGTGCCTGTAGCTCAAGCGGCTAAGACACCGGCCACATACACCAGAGCTGGCAGGTTCGAATCCAGCCCAGGCCTTCCAAACAGCAATGACAACTACAACCAAAAAATGGCTGGGCATTGTGGCAGGCATCTGTAGTCCCAGCTACTTGGGAAGCTAAGGCAAGAGAATCGCTTAAGCCCAGGAGTTGGGGATTGCTGTGAGCTGTGATGCCACAGCACTCTACCCAGGGTGACAGCTTGAGGCTCTGTCTCAAAAAAAAGATATATATATATGTAAAAATACTAGGCAAAGGGGGGCTTGGATGTCCTGAGGAGGGGTCTCAGCCCATGGGTGCCTCCCTTGATCATAGCATGGCCCCAGGGAAATCAGGCAGTGGGCAGGACAGGGTGACCTCTCCTGGCCTCAACCCCTGGGAGGGGGTTTCCAGAGATTTTGCTCAATCTTCAGCCTGGTGTATGATAGGTGGCCAGTTTTAGGGCTTTCTACTTCATCTTTGAGAGGGGCAGGCTTTGAAGAATTCAGGTGAGGAGTAAGACCTGGGTGTTTTGTGCGCCAGCAATCCTACTTTGGAGCCTTTCAAGGATGGGCGGCTGGGCCTACTGGTCCACAAGGAGGGCCTAGATACCACCACTGGAAGCCTTGACACTGTCCCCTGCTCTCCATCCCCAGGGCCTCAGCTGGCCAGGGTGGAATGCACCCCGCAGAGGAACGGAACTGGAAGCCAGAGCTCCATAAAGCTGTAGCCGCCTTTACTGCCCGGCTTTGTTGCTGGCTGCCAGCAGCAATGGCCATTAAAGCTGCTGGCTCCACCAGCAGCTGGGGGCCGGGGGCTGCATGTCCTTCTTTATGGCCTCGGATCAATGCTCTGGCCTCTCAGGGGTCTGACAGCCCTGCTGCAGGCCTGTCAGCCCACCATTTGGCCCAGGGTGGGAGGGCGACTTACCACAACTCCCGCCTTTGCTGAAGCAGCTGTTCCCTGCTCTGAGCCTCAGTTTCTCCACCTGAGATCTGGGGCTTGTGATGGTCCCAAGTACCCAGGGTAAAGCTGCTGTGTTTTATCAAGTCCTTTTTCTTGAAATATGGGGAAACTGAGGTAGGAATGATAGTGAAGTCACTTGTGGTGTCTGGACCTAGGAAAAGTATTCAGGGAGGGCAGACACCCTGCCCAGGCCAAAATCTCAGGTTTTCCTCATTGTCCAGGAAGGGCCTGAGATTCTCTGACATCTATATTAGTGTCCGGGGGCTACTGTTAACAAATGACTATAAACTGGAGGCTTAAAACAACACAACGGAAATCTATCTTCTGATTCCAGAGTCCAGAAGTCTGAAATCAAGGTGTAGAGAGGGCCATGTTCTCTCCAGAGGTTCAGGGCAAGGTCCTTCTGCCTCCCCCAGCTGTGGGGGCTCTAAGCATCCTTGGCTTGTGGCTGCATTGCCTCTGCCTCTTTCCTCTCTGGGCCCATTTCTTCTTCTTCTTCTTCTTTTTTTTTTTTTTTTTTTTTTTTGCGGTAATGGACAACATTGCCAAAAATCTGCT